CCCACAAGAGAGGAAAAGTTGAACCGTAATAGTGTTTTTTGCAATGCATTTGAAGAAGAAATTTAGTGGTCTGTGGAGACAACATTTTATTTTTTCATATCTCCAGAAAAGATGGCAATGACCCTGCCTACTGGAAACTCACAAATAATGCCTGAATTCCCAGACATGCGTATCAGTTTTCCATCTTAAGAATTAATTCTGTATTAAATTTCAAGGTCTCGCTCCCTCTTCAGTGGAATTTGATACTGGCTTTTGCCTTTGTTCACAGGCATCTCAAGCTGATAGGGAAGTACTGATATTTTAAGTGAGATTAAAAGCACTTAAACACTTACTGGTAGTCTCTACAGGAAATGATAATACAGATGGGAAATTTGTATCTTCACCTGTCACTGCAAGTTAGTTTGGAATAAAAAAAATGGAAGTCTTATCTTTAGGCAACTTTATGGAAAGTTATAGCATCATTAGTCAAAACAAAGAAAAGCTGCTTTCTCGTACGTGAAATATTAAGGCAACTTTTAACAGTAGCATGCAAATGCCGTACTGCATGCACCTGTTTTGGGAGCCTCAAAATAAACCCACAAGCTAAGAAATAAAACAGCAAGGAGTGAATAAACTTTATGTACAGGCTGATTTTGCACATACACATGGGAAATCTCAAGGACAGTGTAATCCAGAATGTGGATAACTAAGTGGAACTGTTCATTATGGTCAAGAATAAGTAAAAATGTGCTCTTTTCAAGATGGCAATATGCATCTGCCAAAGTTCATGGGCCTAACAGATATTTTTATTCAAAGTAGTAGAAAAGAGATGGTCGTTGTTCCAGAGGAGCTGCTTTTTTATGAAATGAGTCTATCATCTGACATAATGCAAAAGAGTTATGAAACATGTTTTTAAAGCAGGAAGATTTATTAAGAGATGGGAAGTTACTTAAATGTACAGATCTATCAAAGGCATAATATTGCTGGATTATTTTTTTCTGCTACTTGATGTTGTTCAGGTAAACTGTCTTATATGGAACTTTTATTTCCTAATCTTATCAGTACTACAATTAAATTGAATATAAAAATCCCAGCTAAATTTCTGCAACTGAGTTTCAGCATGCTTGGGTTTTTTTTTTTTTCTTTCCTTCTCACCCCTTCTTCCTTCACACACATATGTAAGAATGTAAAATACAAACTAAGGCACAATCCATGCCTACTAGCTGTATTGCTACAACTCAGCTACAGCCAGCTGACATTTCAGATTTTTTTTGTTTCAGTGGGTGATGGAAATCCAATCCTATCCCTAGGCTGACTCCTGGCTGCTAAAAGGACCCAGTCACTATGAGTACACTTAAGCCATCAGAAGGGGCTCATGAGGTTTATTCCTTTCCAGCAGCCAGACAGCTGGGTAAAGGAAGATGGCCAATGCAAGCAAGGGAAATTCCTTTTTGGCATTCACTGGTGAACAGACCACCTAACGGCAAATTCCCAGAATTAGAGCTACTCTTTGCTAAGGCAGCAAGTGAAATGGCTACCATGAGCGTATCTTTTAAATCCAGGCAAGCATTTACGGAAAAAATGTATCACAAGCAAGAAAAACTTGCCAGAGAGGTAGGTGGACTTAAACAGGCCCACATGTGAATACTGCTATGAATTAAGTGCTAGAGGGCTGCCTCTAGCACCAGATAGTTCAGCTACAGCGGTTTAACTTACGGTCTTGCCCAGCAAAACATGCTGATTGCATAACAAAGCCATTGCAGACTGTATCTGGAAATATAAAAACATGGATTCAAAACCATGCTTAGTGCTCTGGTGGAAGACTGCTCTCGTAACATCCCAGGTTTTGACTTTTCAAACTTGGGTCTAGTAGAAAGCTGCACTTTGGTGTCAGAAATTCTCATCTTCCTACACCCTTATATCACAAGAAAAAAACCACATTTTAATTAGCATGACATTATTTACTCACGCAGAACATTAGCATTTTAATTGCTCATTGGATAATACAGCAAAGAAATGGACTTTTAGTAGTGTTTGGTTTAATAATTGCAAGTCATTTTTGGTAGACATTTCATCCTAAACTTGTATTATGCTTCAGAATTTTTTTGGGTTGTGTCCCCCACAAAACCAAAGCCAAGCCAAACATATACCACCATGGCATGAATTCTAACTTACCAAAACTAATATTAAGTCACTTGTGTCTTCAGTATGACTTTCTATTAACAGCTCTTTGCACTTACAGTGCTCTGAGTATGGAAACCTGATCACAAATCCCAGAAGTAACAGATTAACATGTTACTGCTGGTCAGATAAATTGCAATACCTGGTAACATACCTGTTCCTAGCATACCTTACAAAATAAAATGTATTCTGCTTTGTAGATGCACTGTACTAAGATGTTGATTGAATGAAAGCCACAGAAGTGGCTTTTTTTCTGAAGAAAATCCACAGAAACCACTCAGCCCCATGCTGGAAAGCTTGCAGAATTCAAAAAGCTGTAACTTAGCAGTGTTAGAGTGGAAAGCAGCAGCATCGATAAACAAGTCAAATTTACTGTTTGTATTCAAAACAACTCCTTGAAGCAGAAAAATTTTGAAAAGCTCAATCTATTCTGTAAAATATCCAGGATCAGTGTGCTGCCATGGAGATTGGAAGGAAGGGAACAAGCTACTTGACGCCTGATTTCAGGACTTGTTGGCTGGTTCTGCATAAAAGTACAGCCATGAAGGCTCCAGAGAACTTTTCCAGAAAGCAGCGATTACAGAGGAGAAGACACATGTGAATGGATAATGCAGGAGCTGCTGCATGAGAAATCTTCCATTACTCAGATCTACCAAATCACGCTGTTCCCTTCCATTGGCAAACTAACAAAAGTAGCTTCAACATGCCACAAAATCATGGTTTATATCAAAGTCGAATCATAATTCAAGCACTGTGAAAGAGCAAGGAAAAAGAAATACCAAAGATTTATAACAACTATGCTAAATAAAGCAAAAGCAAGGCCAGTACAGATGTATCTTTTTAAAGTTACAGATAGCATCAATTAGGTTTCTTCCTTAAAGCCTCCTGAAATGAGCAAACCCTCCTTGTAATATTTAAGTCATGCAGTATTTCTTAAGAAGCCAAACACAGGAAAACAAGAAGGTACCAATTCACTACTAGTGTTGTTCTTTCTGCCTTTACTGCACATTTTCTGCTGCTTGAATTGACTTACCACTATTTAACAGGGTATTGACTTTAAGAAACTTAGTAAAATATTCATGTGCTTTGTTAAGTGGAAAAAAAATGACTGCTCTGTGAAAGGACGGTAATATATTCATCTAATTCATGCAATATGGAGAGAATTTAAGGAAAACCAGAGAATCTCACATCCATCCAACAAATGGATTAGAAATTAAAGAAAAAAAAATCATTCCTCCTTTAAAGACAAATTTTAGATTATTTATCATTCTAGGTAGAGCACTCCACATATGTTCCCACTCAAAAAATACTTCAGTTTCTGATCAACAACAAATAATTTAGTTTAATCCCATGCTTTTCAGGTATGATATTCAGGGAATAGAAAACTGGGTTGCTTGATAGTGCTTTTTTAGATATGTGTGGCAACTGAAAAATTGCAACATATCTCTTTCTGATTTTTCACTCAGAAATATTTCTAATTAAAAAGAGGAAGAAGCCCACCTTTCTTCACAGACATATATTACATATTTAATGTCTCTTCATATGCTGGAATCAAATATTACAAACATTAACAAACTGACCAAGAGGACATATAACTTCTGTAATTTGATCTGATATGACTCACTGGGAACAAAATTGTAAGAAATCAGTCAACAGCATTACAGAAAATATCTTTCCACTTCTTACAGCCAAGGGACACTAAGTACATTGTTTTTCTTTTCCCTTGCTCAAAAACAAATGCTACATTCAGAAAGCTGTGTTAAGATACATGCCTCTGATTTCATATGTAAGAATAGTGTTCCAAGTAGCTGAACATAGTGCAAGTGTTGACATTAAAGCTAGGTAATATATGAGAACAAATTACTGAAAAGAGGTAAGATCATCTGTCATTACCATTCTCCATGCTTATTTTTCTAGTTAAGGTAGAAACAGGTTCACAAAGCTTCTTGGGACAAATACTTTCCCCTAAGGGTAAAACAGTAAGTTCATGCTCTTTGCATGAGACAAATAATCTAAATGAAGAAGCAGGCAAACTACCTCTGGACACAAAAAGGAAGGAGATGAGTTGCAACCATATGGTCCCTTTAGGAAATTTGGCCCTCAAACTGGAAAGTTTCCTTATGCCTATGTTGTGCTTGCCCTGTTTTGTCTGAATGAAAAAAAGATTTCTTAAATGAATAAACAATAGCATCAGTCCTGGCACACTGAAACTAGGCTGTACTTCTACCTGCAGTATCTGTTTGCAGAGAACACTGTCCTGTGAAAGCTGCAGTACTGAAAAAAAAAAAACCATCATTTAGCCAATCTGAGACAAGTTTCCTTTTGGAAACATTTTCAAAAAGAAGTAAAGTGTTCAGGAAACATTGCTGATTTCCTGAGAACATAGAGTGCATTGACTATGAATCACTAACAGTTACTTGAGATCATAATTAGTTTCATAAAAGCAGAATTACAGAACAAAACATTTTAGGAACAACTTGCTAACCAAGCAGTTGGGTACAATTTGCTAATAAAACCATGTGTAATTTAGGGTAAGAAATTGATCCTCAGCCAGACAAACAACAAGGAGATGAGTGAACTGCTTCCAGTGACGTAGGTCTCTTGTTAAAGAAGATGCTCTGAATGTAATTTTCAACCATCTTCAATATTTACTGTTATGTTCTAAAACATCAACATTTCCAAACAGGATTATTTTCAAATATGTATGAGGGAATACAAAGTTGGGGGATATCCTTAAGTAGACACTTTTCTACCCTTGGTTACCTGCAGTGCAAGATGTTAATTAAAGTCTGACAGCTGGATAAAGATCTGATTTGTTGGCTTGATAAATAGCTGACATTAAAAATCTAAACTTTCGATGTTAGTTTTTGAAGAATTTCATTCAGCAGCTTCACAGTCCTTTGGTTTTCTTCTCCATTATGGTTCATTCTGTATGCAGTACGGATAAGAAGGCTACAAACTTCTTTGCTTGTATCAGTTGCCTCAGTAACCTGAAGGGAAAACAGAGAAGATGAGAGGAAATAATGCATTAGGTTCCTAAGTACTAAGAATTCTCCATTAATATCTGCAACAAAACCACAGATTTGTCCCTCACCACTGAACATGTGAGATGCTCTGAGTTGAAAAGCAACTTCTGCCCAAGGCGTCTCTTTTCATATATCTTGGCAGAACTGAGCAACTTTGAGATTTCTACTGTTCTCTCAAATTTAAGTGAAACAAATCAAGAGATCAAAAGGTTTTTAAAGAAAACACAAATATACAGACAGTGTAACCATTTAGAAGTCATCTCCTTAGAAAACAACTAAAAGGGTTTGGGTAGATTTGGGGAGACAATTCAATTCTGTAAAGCTTTCAAAAGTTAAAATAAATCCTTCCCTCAAAAGATGACAAAGTACCAGGAAAAGACCCTAAGCTGCAATTTTTGCAGATCAGGAGGGACTTTACTGCATGTTATCTGCTGTGTTAATCCCAGAGTTTACCATGCTAACCAAAACCACTGGCTTGCATCCCAATTTGGTTCTACATCATTCTGCCTTTCATGTATTGTCTTCAGACCTTTTCAAATCACATGGAGAGCCTAGCTACTCCATAATCATTACACAGACACAGTCAAAATAAATCAGACCTGCATTACTCTGGCCTACAACAGGCCACCACTGGGGAATAGTCAGTGTTTTGAAAGTTAGTTATGTTGCTTTCTATAAAGAAACAAAGAAATTGCCTTTGGTTTTGCTGAAGAGTTTTAAAGCAGCCGACTAGTCTATTACAGCATCACTCCTCAACAGCCAACTTCCTCAAAAGAGAAATACTAAAAACATAAACAAATAATGTAAAAATATATACAAACACCCTAATTTTATCATTACATTCTTACACCAAGAAGAAATCGATCATTTGTGAACTTAGACGTAAAATGCTAGAAATATCATAGCCATTCTTAAACAGAAACATGTTATGTCTGTTTAGTCAGCCAGAAGGAATAGCCACTAAAATAGGTTTCCAGTTCCCTGTGTCATAAAATCATACTCTTTATACATGCCATATACCCTATACAGATGGAAGAGCACACTCCTGC